AGTAGTAAAGAGCCTGTTGAGCGGCAATCTTTGACTTAAGCGCTCGAGATATCCAAGTTCTCCAAAACGAGCATCCAGTTTAGCTTAAGAGAACGCTTCTCACAGCCTCATGACAAACAAAAATTATAGCTAATATAATTGCATTCTACACAGAATCTTACTGAAGCTTGCAAGATTTATATGAGAGGAGAAAAGAATTGACATCATGACCAACTTTACATACATGGAAATAACTAAAGAATGTAAGAAAACGAATCAGAATATCGTGTCGATCGTAAGCTTTTTCTTCGACGGAGCTTTCTCGACGTTCTGCTTCTGCAATTCCATAAACGTTGAACCCTTGTTAGCAAATAATCTCCGCAAGTTGATCACTGAAAGCTCGTTGAAGCTAGCAACTGCAAGATCAGCCTGCCCTAGATCATATCTGCACAATATCGTTCCTATATCAGTTGACGATTGAGATATTCGTTAAGAAGTGCGTATAGAATTGGGGATGTGAGGCACATACGCGGGGTGCGCACCGATCAATGCTATAGCCATCATTGTGCAATTGTGAGCAGCGGTTATGCCTCGAGGATCATCCTCGAACACCACACACTTGGAAGGCTTTTGATCCAGCTGCAATAGGTATACGCATTCATGAACGTCGCCAATGCAACGATGAAAACTATGCTGCTTTTGGTTCCCATTATATTTGAGTTTAACAATATGCAAATCGGACGTTACCTTCACAGCAGCAGATAGAAACCTATGAGCCATCGACTCCATACCGTCTTCCTCCGTTACGACTGCCTGCAAAAATGATAACGGTGTATTCGTTTTGCCATTTGGCTTAGAACAAAGTTACTCAGACTTCTAGTTCTAACTTTGAATGCAAGAGAAGGTTACCTGAAAATATTTCTTCAAACTCATTCAGTCTAATGCTTCGAGCATGTGTTTCTGATCGAGACTTGAAACGATGGCACAGGGAATGCGAGCTGTAGACACGGCATCCAGCCACTCTTTGAGGCCATCAACTGGCGTTTTAAGCTGAATAAGAAAGTATTTAAATGATTTACACGAACAATCGAACGAACAAAACAGTCTATAAAAAGATTTTATTGAGAGTACTCACAGAAAGAAGACCTCTGTAATACAACTGTGAAAACCTCGATTTCAATCTATCCAGCTCGCTTTCTGCCATGCCCCAACATAGAAGCTGAAAGGTTGAGCAGAGTTTTCAAAAGCATTAAAAAAACACCGCTAGCAAATATTGTCCTCTTTGGGCTTTCCCTTTCGGGCTTCCCTCAAGGTTTTTAAAACGTGTCTGCTAGGGAGAGGTTTCCACACCCTTATAAATAATGTTTCATTCCCCTCTCCAACCGATGTGGGATCTCACAATCCATTCCCCTTCGGGTCCCAACGTCCTTACTAGAAGTGGCGTTCTTCCCATCTGACTAAGTTACTTCCAGGCTTGTAAACTCCACCATTCCAAACAGTCTAACAATTTTTTCCATAGAAGCGTGGCGTTCTTCCGAGCTTTTAAGAGAGAAAATGCAGTTAAATCCATTCATATGGAGTACGGAGCTCACGGATGGAAAGAAACCACAGAGCTTTCAATAATAAGGCAAACGGATAGGTTAGAAGTATCCAAACCTTATTAATCCTAACAATGACATAGAACATATATTCAAGTGACAGTAAATTGGAGCGCCATTTGTACCAAGATAACATCATAGAACACGAGTTACTTCTCCCAAGAAGAAATATATTTCCGTATGCAACTACAACGAGAAGCATCTTTCAATTTTCAACCTCGGTAATAAACCCGACAACCTTTCTTAAAACATATATAATATCTCTAATGGAAAAGGGAAAAAAAATTACAAACCTTCTGCAATACATGATCTGCACCTGCATAAAGCATAAGCTTCTGCATATCACCATCTTCAGGAACTCTTTTTCCTATAGCAATTACAATTCAAAATTCAAAATGCAAAACAAATAAAACAGAAGTTAAAAGATTTCTTAATTCAGTAAGAGATTATGAAAATTCTAAATAAAAGATTTCATATATGCATCGGTGCAGTAATTTCCAAAGAAATAGAACAAAACCTTCTTCTGAGCCAAGTTGCTTCCATGAATTTAACTTTAAAGTTTGAGTATCTGCCTGAAAATGAATCATACACATCATCAGACAAAAACATCTTCATAATCAGGACATTTGGTCATATGGGTATTAAGAACATAGAAGTTACCACAACATTATCCCAAGAGAAAACTAAGCCGTATGCTTCATCTGGTTTCATAGCATAACGAATTCTTTTAAGAAATCCTTCTTGCATTCTATCGTTCAAGAAATCCTGGTTGCCACAAGGATTAAGACTCTCAAGTGAAAAACCCAGAAGAGAAATAGCTTGAATATAACTAGATTTACTCCATTTTTTCCTTACCACGTCCACTTTCATAAGACCATCTGGTCTAAAACTCTCAAATCCTTCTCCATATTCAGCTCCGATTGCCTGACACTCAAACATTGATCACAAACTTGAAACATTGAAAGATATGAAAACCACATCAGTTAAGAGCATCAAATTACAAAGGTTAATCGGTTTAACTACGAAAAGAATGTTAAATTTTGTACCTCCTGCATAAAAAGCTTGTTGGGAGTAAAGGGAAACCTATTGAGAGAGCCATTTTCGCCAGACTCAGAAACGCTCATCGCCACCATAGAATGTTTATTGAAGTTAAAACGCTTAAAATTCTGTAAAAATGAGAAGAATCCACCATCAAAGAAGGAACGAAATGGGGGGGAAGAAGAGGAAAAAGGGTACCCGAAATTTGAAGCGAGAAGAGGAAGTGGGTGTCCATGATAGAGGAGCAGTGGAGGTTCTGAAATCGCTACAGCTGCAGTCCATTAGTGTACAACGAAGGGTGCGATAGCCGTGGAGGGTGAAGCTAAAAAGCTACTTAGATTTTTGGGTTTTGCCTTTTTCTTTCGCGAAGAAGAAGGGCTCGTAAAGCGTAACGAATCCACCGGGCAATCCGTGCTCCGCGCCACGCCCCCTTTCTTACCAAGCAGTGGGATATTGTGGATTTGCACACGCGCGGTCTTGAAATTTCTCTATGCAATAATGCCACTTCCATTTTTCTTGTACTGCGCCCTTGTCCTATATAAGACAACTATTCAGGTCGATAGCAAAATTTTTAGAACTTACGTTTAAAATGGACAATATTATACTATTGTTTAGAATCGTATTCAACTACTATGGTATTAAAATTCTAAGTCATGTCCTAAACCTAGTCATGTCAATAGACCTCAAAGGCATAGTAAAAAAGAGGAGTCGAGTCTCGATTAAGGGGAGGTGTGGTCAACCATGGGGTTAAATAATAAATTCATATGATTGCATATTAAAATTTTGTCTTTGTTAATATAATAGAATGAATGAATCTTTTGGGCCCATTTTTCCTAACAAAATCAAGATATAAGGCCCAAAAGAATATATTGGTGGGCTCATTTGATTTTATTTAAACTACATGTTTAACATAATATATTATAAATTAATAATTATAAATTTTTTGTATTTATTTTTATAAATATATAACCAAACACATTTTGAATCAATAAGGTCCAATTTTAAATGTGTTACAAAACACACATAGAAGCATATAATATAATAAAAGTTTGTATTTAATTGAATCTGTTATTACTAAAATAAATAAATAAATAAAATATTACATTTGTAGAATAAAAAAAATGGAGAAAAAGAGAGAGAGAGAGGCAATTGGGTTGGGGATGAGAGAACAACGGCGCGAATTATAAGGCATAAAAAACGGGTCAAACCATAATGTATTCTTCCATTTTTCTTGCAATTTAAGCATTTTATTTAAATTTATGTTTTTTTTTTTAATTTCTAAATTAATTAATATAATTTATTTTTTGAGGTATTAATATTAATTTATAACCTTCATTTCTACTCTTTAGATCCATTAATATTTGTTCCCCTTGATTTCAATTCCCTCATTTTCACCACCCACTTTGATATTGACCCTTTTCTTTCTTTTTATTTAACCTATAAATTAATATTACCTTAAACTATCTAAATTTCATCGCACAAATTATACCATTTTTTTATTATAATCTTTCGGTATAAATTTAAGCATTTCAAATATTTATATTAAGTCTTGGGCTTAATATCATGTGTATTTATGTGATGATAAACTATAATATAAAAATAAAGGATTAAATAGGCTTACTTAAAGTTGAGAGAATGAGATTATAAAATAAAAAAATTAAAGAGTTATTATTATTATTATTATTATAAACGTTTAAAAGCATATATAAGTCATAATGTGAAAAAGATAACTAATTATTAAATTCTTATATATATATTGAAAGGGTATATGGTCATTTTCTTTGTGTACATCACTAAAACTCTTTGAGTAATTTTGTAAAGAAAGGTTCTAATTATGTTGGATGAAAAAGGGGTAAACTTCATGAAAACCAATGCCCCCAACCCACCAAAAAAAATTAATTAAATAATAATTATAGTAATAAATTAATTAATTAATTAAAACTTAATACGTTTTACGACTATGATACTAGAATCCATTTTGAGTATAGCCTATTAAAAAGCCTTATACTAGCGAAATAACATTTTTTATTATAAACTCATAGGTGGGTCTTTCAACCAATAAATATATATACACATTGATTTTAAGGCATAAAACTGTGCTTAGAAGTAAGTTTAGTTTGTGAGGAGGAAGAGTTTCCTTTTTTAATCAATCAAACTGATCTCTAGGGTGATGCCCATTTACTTTTATATATATATATGTTCATATAGTTCTAGATATATATATTTGTTGCCCTAACAAATAAGCAAACTCTTTCCCCTCAGATGTAGATTCTTGTCAAAGTCAAAACGCTTCACGTGAGCTCGTTTCTTTAGTGTAACGAAGATTTGATATGAAGATCTGAACCTCTAATCTAAAAGAATCATATCTGTTATACCGAGTTGATTTATAGGTATTTTTGTTACTCTTTTTTCATTCTTCTTATAGATCTTTGGTGGGAATCCTCGTACACTGCCTATAGAGATGACCCACATCTTCATATCACCATTTCAAACTACCTAAACCTTCCCTTCTCTCTCTCTCTCTCTCTTCTTTCTTCAAGTCAAGATCAGAGCATGCCTGAATGTCCAAAGAAAGGTAAGAAAAACTCTCACTTTCTTCGCCCGAGCAATTTCGTTCACGGTTTTAACTCGTCGACAAAGAACAAAGTTATTCATGTCTTAACCGGTTAAGTTTCGAGGCGGGTTTTTTTTAACCCCTCAATTTTGTTTTATATGGTTGTATGTATTAGAGAGAAATTAACTGAGAGTTCGATTATGATAATCGAATTGACTTTATTGAGTAACTTTTTTTCGTGTCACTGTGTATGTAGAGAGAGATTCGAAGAGATAGCGAAGAAGATAAAGAGAGAAACCGATGTATCATCAAATATTCCTCCACAACAAATCATGGGGAGACGCCATTCCTTGCAGGCTCCTCCAGGGATACTCAACACCATTACTCCATGCGCAGCCTGCAAGCTCTTAAGAAGAAGATGTGCTCAAGAATGCCCCTTCGCCCCCTACTTCTCGCCTCACGAGCCTCATAAATTCGCCTCGGTTCACAAGGTTTTCGGTGCTAGCAATGTCTCGAAGATGCTCATGGTAACTCGATGTCGTATTATTATAAGTTTAGTCATTAAAATTTTCAAGTTAATTTATCTTAATTATTGTATTTTAGGAAGTTTCCGAGAACCATAGAGCAGATGCTGCGAACAGCTTAGTTTACGAAGCGAATGTGAGGCTTCGAGATCCTGTTTATGGGTGCATGGGCGCCATTTCGTCCCTACAACACCAAATCCAAGCCTTACAAATTGAGTTAAACGCGGTAAGAGCTGAGATCTTAAGACACAAATTTAGAGAAGCTAGTAATATGATTCACTCTTCTCCTCAACCACAACAACAACAACATGTGTCTTTTCTTTCATCTTCGGCCGAGGTCGTTTCGGTTGCCGTTCCACCACCGCCACCGTCTCTACCGCACAACGCTTCTTCCTCTTCCTCCCCCTTGTACAACCGTCCCACAGTGGCAACGGATTATAATACTATTTCAAGCAACGAAAATGTTACCTACTTTGTTAGTACTACAAGTACCGATCATCAATTGAATTCTTAGAGAAACGCAAATTTACATGGAATAAGATTGAAAGAAAAAAAGTTCGAGTGAATCCCGTCTCTCGTTTCTTAACCAAATACTAACTCGAAAATAAAAAACAAAAAATATTACGATTTGTCGATATCATTCATCTGTATCTATTTGAAAAACACGTTTTTTCTCCTCGTTTCATCAACGTGAATCTCGATCGATTAAGGGTGGAGTAATAGTTGATTAAACATGGTTGACTAAGGAGAGGCATAGCACATGGAAATGAGTCGGTGGCATTGAAGTATGGGATCTGAAATCTGAAATCTGAAAGATTATTTAAAAGTTGGGTAAGAAGGGGAGACAAATGTGTACGACTTTGATACTCCCCATGCAATTTCAGTCTCATTTATAAGGCTATGTTTACCAAAATTATGTTCATATCACCAATTGCCCATATGCTTTGCGTTCTAATGCGCCCATGTGTTTTGGCTTATAAAATTGTTGACAAAATTACAACTTTTTTTAAAAGATTTTTTTGTTTCTATGTGTCGAGTTTGATATGTGGTCAAGATTTGTAGCAGTTTAATCAAGTATACATGTTCGATCGATGGGACTTTTTTCTTTGAAAAAGGAATAAAAGTCTTACACTTGTTAGAGATTATTTGTTTGTAAAGGGAAGAACGTAATGGAATTGGTAAGTATTTTTTCAACAAATATAAGACATCAACTTCACGATTTTAAAACGTATCTGTTAAGAAAAGATTTTCGCACCCTTTTAATTTCTAGTGGAGCCTAAAACTGTGATTTGTCGATCGTGCACATAGAATCCACCATGCTTTTTACTGATTTAGTAATTTTTAGACTTCATTGGGTGCCATCAATTTCATACACATTGATCCATAACTTAACACATTATTGGCAGTGAAGACCTCAATCTAGCCCAAAGCAAGTCAGTCAAGTGAAAGTCATCGAGAAGATCGAAGGTGACCGAAGCCAACCAAATTGCCCTTGAGTCGCATGTGTATGTCACCCAAGTCATCCAAACGCACACATATGCCACCAACCAAATTATCAAGACCCAAACATTAAATTACTTAAACTTAATTACATTATCCCAAAAAAAATACACAATAATTGGGCATTACATGGTTCCAACAACTATAAAAGTATCCCTAACATTTCTAAGTAATATCCACAAGTAAGAAGAACATAGTGAGAAGAATATGAAGATTCAAACTTTACTTTTTAGTCAAACATATATATATATATATAATCGATTGACTTATGTTTAGATGAACAAAGATCGAAAAATATTAATGTAATGAAAATCGAAATTGAGTCAATATACATGATATATAGAATGTGGTAGGAAGCATCAACTATATTTCTTGGAATTATAGCTGAAGCTGATGATCTTAGATAGGAATGGATATCAATCCCATCAAACTTGTAGCCCAAGAGGGGAAGTATCCAAGCCTTTGGTTTCAATGCCATCCTTAACTTCAATGGCTTCCTTCTTGTAAATATACATACTTGACACCCAAACAAACACTCCCAAATTCACCGTAGATATCACCAAAAGAAACCCATAGTAGTAATCCAAATGAGACTCATTCAAGTTGTTCCCAATCCAGCTCTTCCCCCCGTTTTCTCCCGTGATTTTATCGACCACCGTGACCAGAAAACTATTGAGGAAGTTCCCGACTCCGATCCCACTTGTGAAGAATGTAGTTCCAAGGCTTTGCATGTGTTCCGGGGATTGGTCGTAGAAGAACTCGAGCAGCCCGATTGCGTTGAAAACGTCCGCAATGCCAAGGAGGATGTATTGTGGCAATAGCCAGAGGATGCTCATGGGGACTACTTGTTTAGGATGCACAATGTGGTTGGTTTGGATGACGTGCATTCTTCGAACCTCGACTGCGTATGCAATTGCAATGGCTATGATTTGGATGACGAAACCGATGCCTAGCCTTTGGAGTAGAGAGATTCCTCTAGTGTTTCCGGTTTTTCGACGCATGAACGGGACGAAGTAGTGATCGTATATCGGGACCGAGATGAGCATGGAGAGCGTCACGAAGCTGCCAAGGGAGGCTGCTGGGATTTGGAAGCCATGGGAAAGAGTTCGGTTTAAGGTGGTGCCTTGTTTGACAAAGAGAGTGTTGATTTGAGCCCAAATGGTGCTTGGGACAAGGGTGGCTAACCAGATTATGATCATGCCTAACACCTGCTTGGTCCCTTCCACTTGGGTCACCGTGCATTTCTGACTCGACGAATTTGTGTCATCTTTGATTGCAGCTCTGTCCAAGAATCTGCGGCCAAACAAATCAAAGCACAACATTAGCCGAACAATCGTAAATAAAAGATTCAAATATCTTACATATTGGTCAAACATATATATCTTAATCAGTCGAGTTATTGCCAAATTAGTTGAACCTACCGTCCAACGTGTTTCGTTGGTAGTGGTGTATGCTTATGCAATTATAGAATATTGGAGTGTTGGGCATGGCATTATGGAAAGGGAAAAGAGTTGGGTGTCATTGAATGTGGAGGTTTTGTGCGCCCACCATGATGGTGCGCACTTAGTGAAGGATGGAAATATTGAAACTGGTGGCTTGTGTGTGTGGGGCGGCAGAAGGGGCTGAGGATGACTCGCTGTGTTGCTTTCTTACACAAACCCCACTTGAAGCAAAAGATATTTCCTAACAGGCGTAGACTATGACGCTCTATATTGTTTCGAAACTTAAATTCAATATATGATGACTTCGACATTCTCCTATAACATAGTTACGTTATTTATTCTACAACTATAATAGTAAAGAATTCGATTGTGTTTTGGTATCCTTTCAAATCTAGATTCAGTACCTGACGGTCCCGACGTTTCCCTACATATCAGAGTCATCATTTGGGAGCTTGCTTTAGTTCATTATTCAAGTATTTGAGTATTTTATTGACATATATGGACTATGTTCGAGCCATTAAAGTTTTCATTTTCGAATACGAATTAGACGATCCATTAATCTAACTGACAGAGGATTATAAATGGATCCCTTTTTTGGATTTTTACTCGAGATTGGGAATCCATGGACTTTCCATAGGACCCATTTTACTGACGGGGTTTATCACCACTTTAGCTACTTTAGCGGCTTGGCCAGTTACTCGAGATTCCCGATTATTCCATTTTCTAATGTTAGCAATGTATAGCGGTCAAATAGGATCATTTTCTGCTCGAGACCTTTTATTATTTTTTATCATGTGGGAGTTAGAATTAATTCCCGTTTATCTACTTCTATCGATGTGGGGAGGAAAGAAACGGTTGTATTCAGCTACAAAGTTTATTTTGTACACTGCTGGAGGTTCCATTTTTTTGTTAATGGGAGTTCTGGGTATCGGTTTATATGGTTATAATGAACCAACTTTAAATTTTGAAATATTTCTAAATTATTTTTATTTTAAAGAAAAGTATTTTATTTATTTATAAAGTTATAATTTAGTTTTTTTTTTTTTTTAATTATTAGGAATTTATCATATGGTCTTGTCTACATCCCCAAAGGGACCCCTCTAACTATTGATGTAGGATAACCCAACAATCTCTTCCTCTCGTATTTATAGGCCAAAATTATTTAAAAATTAAAAATATTAAAAAAAATTAAACTATTCTCCTACTTACCGATAGAAAATATGTATTTAATAAATAAATATAATAAAGTAGAATATATATATATATATACCTGAAAATGGGAGTATGCTCGACCTGCCTCCTTCCTCCGGCGGCAGCGGCGTTACGGGAGTAAGTGTGCAATTCCAGCTCATAAAGCTCACCGGAGGTTGCCGGAAGCTGGAGGTTCCGGTTCCGAAAGGCGGTGATGGGGACCTGAATGAAGTCCTTAGCCAGGGTCCGAGATTTGGTAACCTTGTGCCTGTAAATGGGAGTTCCGAAGTAGAAGATGAGCAGAGAAAAGAGAAGGCCGACGGTGGGAATCCCATAGCCGAGGCCCCACCCAAGGTTGTCTTGGATGTAGACAAGGCCGAGTGTGGCAAAGAGAGCGCCCAAGAATGAGCTGAACATCCACCAATTGAAGAACGATACTTTCATCTGCTTCTCCACTGGATTGAAGTCGTCGAATTGGTCTGCGCCAAAGGTAGAGATGTTCGGTTTCGTGCCTCCCGACCCGACCGCTATGGTGTACAGAGATATGTAGAAGAAGGCTACTTGTGATGGTGTGGCTTTGCTGCATATGCCATTGTTGCACGTTGGTTTTAAGCTCTTTACTGACACTGCCATTGTTAGAAACACCATTCCCTGTTGTTGGTTCCCCAAGTAACGCGTTAAATCACTGCTCAATCCAAAAGCTTAACCTAATAAATATTCTAATATTTCCGACTTAATCAATCATAATAATCTATAAGAATTTTGTTTCATCTTCACCCAACCATCAATAGTCTAATATTCGTAGACTAAAATAGCTATCTAAGAGTAGCACAAACCAACAACTAATAGATATGATCTATTTTGACCAGTTACTTATGGCAGTCAGTCACTCATGGTTTTAAAACACTATCTATTAAGGAGAGATTTCCACATCGATATAAGTAATGCTTTGTTTTCTCTCCAACAATCGATTGAGCTTATTATTCTATTATGTATTACTTTTTTTGGGTGTCGAGGAACCACTCATGGCTCGGCTTCAATAATACAGTTTCGTATTGAATCTCTTACTTGGAAATTAGAGTTTTGAGGTTTACCATGACGTAGATGAGAGATGAGACGGTGAAAGTCCAAAAGCGGCCAAGAAAAGAATCAGCAATGTAAGCGCCAAAGATGGGAGTAAGCCATACGCATCCTGACCAGTTATTGACATTTCTAACCGACGAGACAGTGTCTTCGTGAAGTTGAGTTGTCAAATAATTCACCAAATTCGAAGCTATACCATAAAACGCCATCCTTTCAAACGCTTCATATCCTGAAAACAAGAACAATTTCCCACTTCAATTCCTTACAAAACCCCAAAAAATAATCACTTTGTAAACTAAATTTTCAAAATCCTTCCTCGAGGAGAAAAATATGAGAAAGATGGTATTATTATG